TTTTTTTTTTTAGTTTGGATTTTATTCTTTTAGAGAGAAAACTACTTTTTTTTTAATTAATTTAAATTTGTATTTTTTAAAATAAATTTATATGATATTAAAGTAATTAGATTTCTTTCCTCGTATGCCATTTTGCTCACGCTGCCCCAGAAGTCACAATGGCCGAGTGGGCAAAGCACTAGACTGCTAGTTGAGAGATCCGGGTTCGAGTCCGACTCGTCGGGCAGCGGAGCTTTTTTTTATTTAATTTTTATTTATTTTTTTTTTTAATAAATTTGATTTTCTAGTTCAGATTTTATTCTTTTAAAGAGAAATATATATTTTTAAATTAATTTTGATGATATTAAATTAATAAGGTTCCTTTCATAATAAATTGTTGTTAAACTATTAGAATTTCCTCGCTTCATAAAAAAATATTCATTAATTAAATAGCGTCTAGCAGATGAATGTATGTATGTATGGCATTGGTATTTTACGTCTACGTTTACACAAATATATGGAATTACATCAAACTAAAACAAATTTGGATTATAATAAATATTTATTATTATACCCGAGCGCACTTGTGCACAAGGGTATTATAACTTTGTTCACATAACGGTTGTTTGTAACAGGCAAAACGAATCGAGATAGATATAGACAAATGTATACATAAATGATCAGAATGAAAAGAGAAATCGGTTAAGCGGTGACTGTCTGTCCGTCCGTCGGTCCGTCCGTCTGTGCACACGATAACTCGAGTAAAAATTGAGATATCTTAACGAAACTTGGTACGAGCACTTCGGACGGACGATATTGAAAATGGGCGAAATCGGATTGTAACCACGCCCACCTCCCATATAACGGTAATTTCCAGAAATACGAAAACTGCGATATTTTAGTAACTACTGAAGATAATTCACTCAAAATTGATATTTACAATAATTTTCAGACGAAAAATAAGAATATTATAAATTTTTGGAAAATATGCGCAGCCACGCCCACTTATGGTTACATGTGTATATCTTGGTAACCGCTGCACCAATTTCTTCAAAACTTGGCACAAATGTTGGCCTTGGTACAGCATACCAAATGGCCGAAAGTTTTTAAAATAGGACACATCCCATATAACGGTAATTTAGAGATACAAAATCTTCGATAAATCAGTAAATATTAAAGCTAATTTATTCAAAACAACAATTGCAACAATTCTTTACCAAGAAATATGCTTATGGTAAAATTTTGGAAAACGGGCGTGGCACCGCCCACTTATGATATGTGATGATGATATATGTATATCGGTAACCGTTCTACGAATTTGTACCAAACTCGGTGTGGTTATTGTACTTGCCACACAGAAGTTGAAAATTATTGAAATCGGACTAAAATTACGGTCGCTTTTCATATCATGGTAAATTTCAGAAATGCTTCAAACTTCAATATTTTGAAATTTAAGGACGCTAATTTACTCAAAATTGATACACCCCGGCTTACCATGTAGCGGTAGCTTTCGGAAAGGTGAAAAACGTATATTTAATACTTACGCCGGGTATTTAATGTTCGGCTCCGCCCGAACTTAGACTATCTTACTTGTTAACAATAATGCACCTTTTCTCATTATTTTTAAGATTCACACCCCTATTCTGGAACCCCAATTTTCGTAATTCGTAATTTGTATCTATGTTGCGAAAAACGAAAAATCGACATGCTGCAACCCTTGCGGAAACCTGTGCAGCATTGCCAGCTATCAGTTGTTTTTCGAAGACAGCTGTATGAAGGAAAACAAAGTGGAAAGGAATTTAAAAAAATCATCAAGTGCTTATTTATGGTAAAATTTATTGATTAGTCATATTTTGAAGGAAACGATGGATTCTATTCCAATTGCAATTATAGCAGCAGAGTCAGAGCGCGCTATGGAAGTGAATTCACAGACGTATGCGGAGCTGTCGGGCATAGTAACCACGACGCATCTATGTCAGCTTCTGGTTTAATTGTTCACCTCCTATGCCTGAAGAACTGGTTCTCAACCCAGTTAATGCAATAACAGCTTCTTCCAAGCCATTGAAAACATGCACTTTGTTGGGTCCACCACCTGTTGCGCTTGCTCCTGCCTTCGGACGCGCTTACGGTTAATATCCCTTACTAAGTATAAGTCTCCTTTCTGTATTGCCGGAGAAGAAGTGCTTCCGCATTTCAAAGGCATGCAACATTTCTTATATTATTAATAAACTATTGTTCGCAAATTTGAAACATTTATTTTAAATGAAAGTTTAATCCTTTGATTACCCGTGTATGTAAAAGTTTTTAGATTCTGGTTATGCCTTTTGACACAACAACCGAAAATGATTGTACTAATAACTAAACCAGACCCAAGTTTCTCGACAAGGCCAACAAAGCCTTTTTTTTGTTCATTTATATAAAGCAGTGGATAAAAATATACGTATATACGAAAGGCAAATTTATCTGTTTAAATGAACACTACCAATATCGCAAAAAGCTGTCAATTTCTTACGCGTTCGTTTTTAGGCATGACATTGGTACGAATTTCGAAAGTTCGAAAATACGATTCGGATTTCAGCATACTATTTCTACGATTCGTAGCAAATTCCGAATACGAAACAGTTGCAGAATAGGGGTGTCGGTGATTTTAAATTTTGCTCCGACAGCGTAAACTCGTAGAGTATCTGTACGGATCTTCATTACGAACGGATTCAATGAAGGCTCTCTAAGAATTTCGAATTTACATTCGTAGCTATTCGGATTCTGTGATAGCACTTTCGTAGATTTCACGAAAATCGAAGCTACGATGGATTCTGTGATAACCCTGTTGATTCCGACAGCATAAACTCGTAGTGTATCTGTACGAATCTTCATTACGAACGGATTCAATGAATGCTCTCTACGAATTTCGAATTTACGTTCGTAGCCATTCGGATTCTGTGATAGCACTTTCGTAGCTTTCACGAAAATCGAAGCTACGATGGGTTCTGAGATAGCCCTGAATATCTGCCATTTCCTTCACAAGGCAAAATACGTTCGGATTATTTAAATAGCAGTACATACTTATCGTCACCTTAACAACCTTATCGTCACCCTAAGCAACAATTTTTTTATTTTACAGGAAAGCAAAAAACGTTATAAATTGAGTAACAATAACAGGGCTTTTTAAAAAGTGGCATGTAACTCCGTTGTTTTTGGTACTAAGGCTTACAAATTTTTATCGAAGATGTTTTTAAATACATCATACCGAAATCTGTGAAAAACGTTATCTATGTTCTACCTCAAAAAGAAAATTTAAAAAAAATCTCTGCTAAGTTTATTAGCGGTTCGGACTCAATCGCCCTTATTCCGATTGTCGGAACGACAGTCGTTCGTCGATATTTGAGATTTTCATTGGCGTTATAAGGCAACCAATGACAATCTACTACACATTTGTATTCCTATTATCCTTTCGAAATGAAGAAGTATTGAAAACGTGTTAAAATCTGTCGTTAATGTTTTTATTTACGACATAATTCAACGAACGACTGTCGATGCGAACTCTAATGACAACCAGAATACGGATAAATATACATATAAGTAATTAAATAAATAAGTTTTTATTGGCAGCGGGAGCGGAGTTAAGAGCGGAGCTGGGAACTTTTAGTTGAAAGCAACAATCGCCTGGTGTCAACTAATCGCCTCTAAAATTGCCTTTAAAATCGCCTCATGCGAACACCGTATAAGGAATCAGGTATATTTACATGTTTGCGGCAGCCGTTATGCGAGCGCACCGGTGAAATACTCGTGTAAAAAAAGGTTGCTAAAATGTTTGGAGATACAGTCAGTCAATAAAGTACATCGACATTTTTCCAATACGGCAACTGTTTATTAAGTTTTCGCAAATTTTTTAGAAAAATATGGTTTATTCTACAACAGAAACCCCAAAAATCAGAACTCCAGTGTGCAAAATAAAAGAAAATTCTGCAAATTTTCATTCAAATATTGCAGTTTTTAATTACACTCTCTCGGAGATCGCTATCATGAATTCTGTCGTGATCACGAAATTCTCCCGCAAATTCACAGATTTCGATTTATTTTGTTGTGATTTATTTTGTTGTGATTTATTTTACTTTGATTTAGAATTATTAAACCAAAACATAAAAACAAACCAAAATCAAAGGCAGCACTAACTATGAATGTGCCGGAATTGCTGATAGATAGCATTTCTCCCGAATTCTGGACGGGAGCTCAAGAAAAAAGGGACACTTTCAACAAAAAAAAAATTGCCAAAAATCAATGGCAAGTCCTAACTGTGTAAATGGTGGTTGAATGGTGTAAAAAATTGCATTCTCAACTTTTTTCTAAAGAGTGTAAATAGAAAGTGCAAGATTTGAATGAGAATTTGCACATTTTTTTAATTTGGCACAAGGTTTGGAATTCTTTTTTGTGGTTTTTGTTGTATTATCCACATTTTTATAAAGAATTAGCATAAAATAAAATATTTAATAAACAGTTTCCCGCATTGCAAAAACCCCTCTGCACCTAAACTTTATTGATTGACCGTACATATTTTCTATTTTTCGCAAATAATTATTACTCATTGGCCCGAAACCTACCAAAATCCAATGAAGCCTACCAACCTACCAAATGGAAACAGCCTACCAGTTTTGGGAGGAAAAGCCCGTGTGTGGCAACACTTTCCACAATCGGCCCTATCGCGAATTTCACATGAACAAATATTCCCAAAAATTATAAAGCAAACAAAAACAATGTTTCCCAATTTGTTTTTGTTTTGTAGGCTAAATTATGGGAACGATTTATTCACATGGAATTGGCGATAGGGCTGAATACAATTTAAAAGAGCGAAGCATACTAGCTATCGAATAATGCCGCGATCTCAAAATCAAATTTCGATTAGAGTTACATTCGATATCCGCCGCGATTCGGGCCCTGATTGTTGTTGTTGTTGTAGCGGCTACTACGAGCCCGATGCTTCGCTTGATGCATTTCCGAATAAATCGGCACAAACAATTTACAATGTTTTACATTTTTCTATAGCTAATCGGGCGGCATTCTTTACTTGTTTCAAAAAATTTGTATTTTTACTCAATTTGTAGTAAATGCTTTCTGCGTTGATGTTTTTTCGAGCAAAGTTTTATAGCTCATTCCCGTTCGGAGCCGGAACAAACTGTTTGTGAGTCTCACTAATTGTGCAAAAAATGTGTACAGTGTACTGAACTTAGAATAACAATTTAGTGTTCCAATGTAGCGCATAGCAATGTAGAATTACTCTCGGCGTTTATAGGTATTTACATTTTTTACCTTTCTAAATTCAATCTTGCTGAAAAGTAAAACACATACACGTTTACGTTCAGGTATTAATGAAAAACTGTTTCTTAATGTGCATTGTCACGTCTTTACACTTTTATTTGCTCTACTTTCTTGGTTGATTTCGAGCCATATCTTTAGGGAACGTTCGAACAGGTGGCGTACGAATGCGACGAGCTTCCTTGGAACGATTTCTTACAACTTTCGAGTGGATAGCGCAGGAAACGCAGTAATGAAGTTTTGCGTACAATTTTGGCAAAATGTATGCTAAAAACGATTAGATTAGAAGTTGTTTTAGAAGTAAAACAGAGCTAGACTTACTTTCCCATATGGAAGCTTCAGATATATCTCTCACCGCTGCTGCTTCTACAATGTTGCGAATAACAAACTTCTTAATAGCCTTATCTTTTGGAACGCAGCGGGCACAATTTGTGCAGCGTACAGGCTTCACATGGCCACGATTATGCTTGCAGCGCCCTCCGTTACGACGTTTCTTGGTCTGTGTAGCAAAAGAAAAAGTGAATTATGAATAAAATTGTCATACATCGCTAAAAGTGTTTCAGTTTTAAGCTAAGATACTCCATTAGTTTCCAACAAAGAATAACTGCTATTTTTAAGATAAATTCTATAAATTTTACACACCATTCTTCTAATACTTGTCTTTCAACAGGAAACAGAGAAAGGAAAGACACGACCGAAGTGAACTTGGCTGCTATTCACTATTTGAACAAGCAAACATGTGCATGCCAAAACTTTCAATCAAGCGATAATTCACACTCTTCAAAATGTTCCATGAACGAAAGACACAAGATCACGTAAGAACAAGAGAGTGAAAAAAGTCGATTTTTTTAGCGGGTTCTACGCCATCTTGTTTCACTGGAAGACGAGCGAAAAGTAAACAAAGCAAACAAACCAACGAAAACCAAAATTAGCCAAAATTATTGTCAGCCACTTTAAACG